CACCAATATACTAAGATTAAATTTTATTTTCTGATGAGGTGACTTTCATGTGGCTGCTTGGAATTTTATTTTATTTTTTTATGGTAAACAATTAAAGGAAGTTATAAATACATACTTGTCAGGCTAATTTGGCTCATTCTATGTATGGCTACCTTAATGTTTCACAGATTTAAAACAGTTTTAAAACACTTAATGTGAAGTCTTAAATGTGACAAAATGTCAAAAAATTGAAAAAAAAGTTCAAGGTGTGATAATACTTTTGCAAGGCGCTGGATATTAGTGGTTTCCGCTGCAAGGAATATTCACTTACTTCAGGATGAAATTAGGTTTTATGTTATTTTCCTACCAAAGAAGAAATCCTGAATGTGGGACCTGCTCATTATTTTTGTTTATTTTTGAATGTAAAATACCTCTGCCGTTTGGATGCGCTCACCGGCACACCTTCTAGTTCATTAGTCTGCTGGGGAGTCACATCAGTAACTGCAGATTTACTCAGCAGCGCCCTCTTCTGACCAGAGGGTGTGTTGATTCCAGACACACTTGGAGCTCAGTGTCTTTTTAAATCTTGGCCTCTTTTATAGATGCCAGAAGTGGATGGTTTAGTAATATCTTGAAATAAGTGGCAACATGCAGCAGTTTGGATCTGAAGAAATGTCGGTGAAATATTTGACCCATTGCAGCACTTCTAAGCCTATCACTCTGTTGTGCATCCTCCATTGATGTGTCTTATCTTGTCTCTGTTGCTGATGGTGAATCTGTACTCCAAAAAAGGTTATTTTATAACTGAAAGATTGCACAAAATGTATAGAAAACAGTTCCTGAGCTCTTTTCAAATATTAGTTATTAGAAATATGAGTTATACAAGGTGACCTTATACCCGGGAAACAGCTCCTGTAAGGAAATACCTCAATCCCTGCAGCTATGCTTCATTTCCTGCTCAGTGAAAGGATCATTCTCCAGGTGAGGTTCAGAAAATGCTGAGCTGAAGGAAAAGCACCTAACTTGCCTCGATTTATCCATAAAAACTAAAGAAACTCAAATGATCGTTTTAGTGTCATAGAGCGGGAAAAAAGCTGTAAAATCCATAAACATGTTTTGTTTTGTTCTGTTGCCAAAATCCAGTTTCCTACAGTTTTGAATCCAATCGGAGAGCCAAAGATTTAAGGCGTCGATGTAGAGAAGCTTAAAGAGACGTCTGATAATATCTGATGAAAGCATGAGACGATTTATTTATACTAAATGACAAATTCAGGACAGAGAAGAGACATTTTTGTAAAGTTTATTCGTTGAATCTGGCTTGTCGTTAAATCCTTCAGATGATCTGAGCTGAGCTCCGATCTTTTTCGCAGCAACACTAGAAAAATGTTTCCGTTACAGAACGTCGACTGTGAAAGAAACGCTCCGTTATTCGCTCTATCGCAGCCCAGCGGTGGCCTCTGATGTCCTCATCAGATGCACCCTTGGTTTAATCAGTTGCTCACCTTCAAGTTCAACTCCGTAAATAACAGACTTTGGGACACTTTCTGGTAACTAATTTGCTTCAAAATGTTAAATGAAACCCAAAGTTCAGTTTTATCGCCTAATGAGAAGCATGTCCATGTGTTTTTGCTCCATTTGGAGGATTTTACTGCACTTTATTATAAAAAAAAAATAAGAGACCTTTTTTCTGCTTAGTCCAGGTAGGATGGTTGTTATACTGTCTCTTGTTCGAGTTAAAACCCATATCCTTAATAGACCACCATAAAAATCATACCCACTCCATTTATCCCTTTTCTGTTCCTATCTGTTGCTTTCCTTGCATTTACCTTTCATTAATGGGCTTAGATACAGCACTCTATTTACAAAGTCCTCTGTCTGGTGGAAAATATTCCAGTATCCTTGTAGGACGTGATGATCAACAGTTTTTCTTTGCTAATATTTTTCCAATGAACTGGGTTTTGGGTTTCCATTGACAAAAGACTTTGAAAATACTTCTATAAATAATAAATTCTATGTGCAAAGTTTGGTTTTGAATTAAATTACTAAGACTAATTGGCCACTTTTCTACCCATTTGTGTCAATAAAGACGATTATGGCTGCTTGAAATTGATTAGAAACCACTTTACAACAGGCTCCATGAAGAAAGAACTAAATAGAGACATTAAGCTGTTGCCTTGAGTTTATCGGTGTCCCAGTTTAAAAGGGAAGCTTCAGATGTGAGCCTCCTTGTATTTGACTTCTGCAGCTTTAAATGATAAAATGTGACGGTTCTGTTGATCATAAATCGCTGTTTAAATCCGTTTTTTTCTTTTCCTAAGGCGGTCTAAACCGAAGCTGTTTTTGCTTAATAATTTCTTTTCCTTCTGTTGAAATGTTGTAACCGTTTTACCCATGAATCCTGATTCATCAACAGTGTCTCTGAAAGCTGTTCCAGTTAACACGCTCATGGTTTAATGAAGGATTCATTATGTGGTAATGGAGCACCAGGATGTGAGACATGCATTCACGCAGTAATTAAACATCTGAAAGTAACGCTTGAACCTTTCTTTCTGCACTTTATTGCAATTTCTAACAAAACTCTAAAATAATCACAAAACATATTTTAGTTCCTTCTAAATTAAAGGAGTAAAAGCATGATTTAAAATATATTTTTTGGGGGAAAGAAAGATGTTGAAGCTTCTTTTTTCTTTTTTATCCAAAGACGTATTGGCCCAAATCAAAGTGCCATTGTTGTGTTTTGTCTTTGCGGTTCTTGCAGCCTCTGAGTACCACGCTGTGCTTTCCTGCTCTCTCTGTCCTGTTTGATTTTTTTTTTATTCTTCACTTCCACTTTGTAAGTGATCTGTTTAATTTGCCATTTTGTGAAACCATCAATAAAAATCACAATCTATGTAAAAACTGCAGCTTTCATTTGTCTCTGATCCTCAAACTTTACTTAGAAAATCCTCCATTAATTTAAGTAATATTACTTTTACCATAGATTTTTTTTTTTTTTTTTTTTGTTAGGGGTGCATTTCTTAAACTTATGGTCATCTCCAGGTTATTTCCATTTCTTGGTTGTGAGCGACTGCCTCAGATCATCGCCAGTTATTGATCATAAGGTCATCAGAGGCTAAAAATAAAGTTTCATTATTATGTCACAGACTATATGTACATTTTAGATCAGGAATGCCCAAATTTGGTCCTAGATGGCCGCTGTCCAGCAGGGTTAAGATGTTTCTCTGCTCCAGCACAGCTGATTTTCCTCGATGGCTGATTAACAGGCTTTTGCTGAACTGCAATCATCAGAATCAGCTGTGCTGAAGCTGAGAAACCTCTAAAACCTGCAGGACAGCATTCCCCGCGGACCGACTAGGCATGGCTTTTTTAGATGAAACTGTACAGCTTGGTCTACAGAGTGTAATTTTACTGCTACACACACCATGATTTAAGGGCTCCAGGAAGAAACCATAATGCAGGGGTCTGAAACCTTTACAGCTCAGCAAAACAAAAGTCTCTTAGAGCCGCAAACATTAGATGATCTTTTATTAAAATACTGCTAATTCTTTTAGTCAAATATCCTTTATAGGATTTTAACCATCATACGGGTTATTTTAACTTTTAAAAATAGCATTGATTTTCTTCGATAAAATAAAATTTGATGGGAAAAAAAGCTAATCAGAAAAATAGACCAAACATATTTCTGGTACTTTCAGTGTCATTTTGTTTTAAAATTCAATGCAATCATTCTTTAAAAACCCACAAAGCTTCCTTTTAGGGCTGCTATTTGTTATCTCACTATATTAGTTGTTTCTATCTCATTTTCAGCCGTTGTCTTACGGGTCCAAAGAGCAACAGGTTGCCATGCTATGTAGGTACCTCAGGCCAGCGCCTGCAATTCAACACGTTTCAGTTATTTATTTAGTGAAAAAGGCAATAACTAGTTCTAGATATATTTTTTATAGACAAATGGCAAAGATGTTTACTCAGGGCTTAGTAGAAAGGTTTCATATTGTCTTTGACTGGGTCATGTGACAAATTAAAACATTGTTATTGGCTGTTTGCAACTTTGGAGTTAATTCACTCATTTACATCAATTTAGGTATTTTGCTTTGAACTGAAACATTGATTTTAGTAATTTCATTTATCATTTTTATAACTAAAACCAAAAAATGTTTAGTATATTTTTCAGAACTTCAGTAGCCAAACATGGGTTTGTTATCTGAACACAAGGTGGTACCAAAGACCTTTAGTTTCATGTCTATAGAAAAAGCATTCATTTTCAACTTGAAATAATAATAAAAAGTTCCCTAATGCATTTTTTACCTAAGTTAATTCCAGTTCCCTGTTATCGATTTCCTAAACTAAAAACAAAAAAAACAAAACAATATAACTCAAGTTCTGAACCAGGTTTTGAGTTTATTGGATGAATTTTCCATGCAGTTAGAACATTACAGACTCAAGAGGTTTTCCAGATATCAAGAACCTCAGTTGAGAAACTACATCATCGGCGTCTACTAGATGCTAGCAGGATAAAATGACAGTGATCTCCTTTTTAAACAGATGCAGGTTTAAATCCCGAACATTGAGGCATGGACAAGCTGAGCAGGAAGTTTCACATCACCATGTAAATAAAATTCAATGCTTAAGACTAAAATCAGCCCTACTCTGCTGGTTAATACATGAAGGAGTGGATAGAATGAAGAAACTGGATGACATTAGGTATTAAAACTGCTTTTTTAAATAAAATGCTCAAATTTAATAATATTTAAGAGGTTTTATATCACAAGTTCAAACAGTTCCAAATCGTAGTGCAATTAAAAATAAGACTCATTTTTAAATGTAAAGAGACATTGGATCATTTAAGATTCGAATTAGAATATCAAGTTTGTGTTCATTAAAGATTACCAAAATAATTTTATAATTACTTTTTTTCAGCTTCCATGTGCCTCCATTTACACCATAATAAAATCTGTTTTTATGTTTGTGTTCAGCTATGTAGTTTCCCATTTAGTCAAACTTTCAGTCAAAATACTTTAAGGTTCAACTTTGATGTCTTTAATATATTTAGTGACATGGATGAAAGAAACAAGAAATCCTCTCAAACAACAAAACATTTAGAATAAATGCACTTAAAGAGTTTTTTCACATTTAAAATGCAGACATTTGAGAGCTGATGAAAAGATCAAAGAAGGCAATGAAAGGTTTTTAGTATCGGGAAAAGTTTCACTACATTGGTGCATAAAACTTGCCCCGATATGTTCAGATATCTAATATAAAAGCACTTCTGAGGGGCAACAAAAACAACGTTCGTCCCTCTGGTTGCATTGATAAGTTTGTATAATCTGTACATATCAAGGCATCTTTTTTTAAATCTTATTTTTACATGAAAACATACATATTCACACAAAAAAAGACACACAAAAGACTGTTTGCTATTTCAGTTGCTTATCTGGTAAACTTTAGTCACAGCTGTGTATAAAGTAAGAGGCTTAATGTTAGCAGAAGGTAACAAGATGCTTCTTTCACAGCAGGTCTGTGCTTTTTTTTCCTCGATAGTGGTTAAACCAACAAAGTAACCAAAAAAATTCAGAAACTGAAATATTAGTGGCTCCTCAGCACCTTCAGAGATTGGCTTTATTCCCGCAAAAGGATGTTTTCTTTGCTTCAAACAGCAGGCCAGATTATTTCTGTAAAATATTTGCACAAATAAAATGTATAAATGGGATCTGTACATACATTTTCCCGCCAAAAGTAACATTTCTAACTTTTCTTCCTTTTACTATCAGAGTTACCAAACTAACAAGAATTTCACCAGTTTATTAATGTTTCTGTTTAAAGATTAAGTCGTTACAATGTAAAAATTAGCAAATATGTTTGGTGTCCAATTGACTTTAACTTGCTAGCAATTTAGCATTAGCCATATGCTAACCTGACAAAGATAAAATAGAACGGGAACAGTTCGATTATCTTGTTTGGAATAAAAAAAAGGCGTAGTGAAAACATAAGAAAACATGTTCAGTTATTTAAATTATCCATAAATAACTGAAGGAAACGGTACTGCTAACGACTGCGCTAGTTTATGCTTATTAGCTCGTCTGTAAAAAGAGACTTTGATTTCTACAATATTAAACCAAATTATTCAAATTGTTTTGAGAAACGCTGAGCCGTTTTATGACTACGATTCAGACCGGGGCAGACGGCTAGCTAACATGCTAACATGTTTTAGGCTTTGTTTAAAAAAAAAAAAGGAATGTAGATTTAAAATTTGGCAGATTTGATGTTTTTCTAAATACACCTAAACATGTATATAGGACTTTGTTTTATATGGATTCTACTCATTTTGAAACCAATTAATGAAATGTATTTTCAAAATTTTTGTATTTTTATGATAATTTATCTTTATTGTTTTTTTTTTTTTTATATATATAAAATGACAATAGTTACATATGGGGATTGGGTTGTTAATGGGGGGAAAAAAATGGGGGGCAGGAATGTACTATAATTTTTTTATTTTTGATGTGACAAGTTAATTGAAATATTCTTGACTTTTTGAGTAGCTTGTTGAAGCTGCTCTGTTTATAGCGAACGAGACAAATTTTCAAACAAAGCCCAAAATTTGTTAGCATGACAATTGATTTCTTAAATTGTTAATGACGTTAGTAAGTACTCATATATAGTGTGATAAGACAAACAAATACTTTAACATGATGAAATTTCATGTATAAATATTGTGTTAATACTTATGTTTGGGATTCTGGAATAAAGCCAGTGCAAAGTGTAACATTAGAAACAACCTGGATAGGTTTTAAAATCCAAACCTGTTTCTTCTTGTCAACACTGAAAAAAATATCGCCATATTTTCAAGAACAGTTATTTGGAAGAAATAAAACACTTTAACATGTTTAGAAAAAGCAAAACAAAAACATCATTACTTGTCTCTAACAAAATAACTGTGAAAGACCTTTGGTTCCTCGTTAGCCTAAACTGCTGAGCGGAGGCTCCTGATTGGTCAGCATCAGTTAAAAGGAATGTGTTGGAACCAATCAAGAGGGAGAATGTTAAGTGTTAATTTACAAATATAACACACTTATGTAACAGTAACACAACATATCCATCGACAGTGATGTTTACAATGAAGCACAACTGGTTAGCGACCTTTAGGCTAAAGCAAACACAATCAAGACAGTTTAACCGTGTATCTTTTCTTTTCAGTCAATGCTTAAGATTTTTTGCTAATATTAGCATCTTATGTGCAAAACAAAAAAATATATATATATAAGAAGAAAAAAAAGTACAATATCCTTCTGAAATTTGGTTTGGACCAACGTCGAACAAACATTAAAAGCTTTTTCACCAGACAGTAATCACATCTACAAAGTAAGCGATGCATGGTGTTTATTGAAAAATCAAACCTCAACTTTGATCAGTAAAACCGTTCAGGTTGTTTATCAGCTTTAATCTAAAGCTAATACCGATTTTTGATAAAGATTTCCATCAAAATGAATCAGACATTTGGAGTACATTGATTTAGTCCACCAAAACATTTTGCCTGTTAATAGGTCGCCCTCTGCTGGCTGTTTCATAAGCTGTAGCTTCCCTCTTAAACTGGTCATCCTCTGTTGGCCACGTCCATCTTTATACACAATCTGATTTTAATATTTTAAATAAAAAAAAATGTATCTGCAGTGCGATGCTATTCTATATTTGGCAATGAGGAATAATAACACCAAACAAGGATCAGTTACCGATTTTAAGTCTTTAATCTCAAGCAGGCGATTCACTTTTGCACAAATTAAACTTCAACTTTCAATCAGCAGCTGATTTTATAGTTGTGAAAACCGTCTGGTGAAGCAAATACCATATGTGAGGAATCCTGCGGATACCAAACAACTCCCACACACCGAGACAAAACATATTAACGTTTCTTTTCCATCTCTCAACCTTCACCTCTGCTTATCCAGAGAACGAATCCAGAAAAACGACAACAACCGTCAGCCCAGGATGTGCTTTAGTGTTCCTGTTCTTTAAGAACAACCTAAAATACCGATTCATTCCCTCGGTCACTAGAAGATGCCACAAACGTCCTTGCTGGTGTTTAGCGCCCAGTCATGGTTGGACTTTGATAAACAAGGGCCAGCGTGAACCGGCTGCAGTCTTGTGAGTTTTTTGGGGACTGAAGAGGTACGACGAGAATAAATCCAAAAGTTTCACCACTTCTCAGAGGGTTGATCTGATAACGGCTGCTTGGTCCAATAGCTTGCAAAATATAACAAACTGCAGTCAAAATCTTGCTCTTTTTGGGTCATTTTGATGACTTCTGAATATTTAAGGCTAGAAAAATGTATTTCAACCCCTTTGTTTTGTTTTGCAGCCATTAAATCTGTTGATATAATTTATAGATGTGTTATGTTGTAAAGCACTTGAAACATTTCCAGATCAGCAGATTAGCCGTTCAGAATAAGAACAAGCAGATCAACCTTTCAGTCGTAAATCTCATAAGCTCAGCTGCGGATGAGTTTAGTGAATAACAGATTCATTATGTGATGATTTAAGAGTAAAAACTGGAGAAAATGACACTTTTGTCATACTACATTTTGAAGATCAATAAAGTTCCTGAAAATAAATGACTAAATCCTTCATGATGAAATATTGATTTCAGTCTCACCAAATAGTTTCACAGCATCTGCTTTAAAACCTTAAACTGATCCAGACACCAAAACCAGCAGCTGGGTGCTGGTTTAGAGTCCAGTCTAGTAGAAGTGGTTTACGTCCAAGATTATTCCAGTCATCTGGCAGCAGCGTGGTAAATGCATATCTGATGCCCCCCCTCCCCGCGTTAGGCTTAGTGTTTGGGATCTGAATAAGTTCCAGATTCTGCCTTTCCCAAGATCCGAACAAATCCAGATCAGATCCATCCGATTCCAAAAGAATCAAAAAATCCAAAGACAATAAATCCAGTAGGTACCAGACTCCTAACCACCTGGAGAACCCGGCAGTGTTTGAGGTTTTTCTGCGTCACAGGTCACATGATGCCGTTGGTCACGTACTGGAAAGAGTCGTAGAGTTTTGTGGTGATGGAGCGCATGGAGCCATCCACCAGCTGCTCCACCAGCAGCTGGAGCTGCTCCTCCGTCAGGGACATGTGGAAACGCTCCTTCAGGCTCCGGATGGTGCTGGAGCCATGGAAACAGGGCAGGTGGGAACCTGGTGGGAAAACCAAAAATGACCTATACATCACCTGGTACTGTTTTTAGCCATGCAGAAGGTTTTTGGCCTGATAGCTGATTTTCATTGAATTTACACTTCCCAGAGTTATTGGCGCATCACCCTGTGGTCTGTTTGCAACATTGTTTTTATTGGTTCTGCTGTCAGGATGAATTATTTAAATTTTTGATATGAATTACAAAAATCATATCCTATTTATGACTTGGTGACAATTTTAAGACCTATGAAAGACTGATTTAAGACATTTTAATACCAATTAAGGCCTTATTTTTATATTGAAGAATTCAATGTCTTTTAAGACTTTTTAAGGATCTGCAGGAACCCTGATTTTAATGTCGATAACAATGACTTTCTCCATGTACATCCTAAAAATTACAGGATTACAACAAATCTTTGTTTTAATAAGAAGGAGACATAACCAAACAAAACAATAACAATGGATGGAAATGGAGGAAGCACGTCCTTCTGTGATCTCAAGGATAAAAATGATAAAATCAGGAAAATATATTGGCCGGCCGATGTATCAGTCTATGTCTAATGCCCATCGATTCCAACCCTGAGAAAACTAAGTTAACTTGGAGCTGGCAGCATCATTTGTCAACGCTCTGCTGGAGCAAATATTTTTATATATATAAAAATATGTAAAAATGGCTTTTAGAACAACTTCAAAATGTAAATTTTGTTCAAATTTAAATTGTCTCATAGCTTTTGTGTTGCAGTGCATCATGGTTTCTTTTCATCGGGTGAGACTGTGGGTCTAAAACTGCTCTAGACCAGATCTGCAGCTGTTTTACTGTTTATAAGAGATGAGTTATATGAGATTGAGTCCCAAGTATCAGCACCCAAGTCTCAAGCAAGTCCTGAGTCATCTGAAAGGAGGATCAAGCAAGTCAAGTATAGGTTTAGTCAAGCAAGTCAAGTGAAGTCATTTTTTGTTCAAATTTCTGTTTTTCACCAAATCCATTTTTCAGCCAATATTTTTGTTAATGTCAGCTGATAAGGTGATGAATTGGATCGACATAAATGAATGAAAAAATAAAACACATTTTTAATTGTAAAAATTAACAATCCTATTACTGTTAGTAATGTTAAGTTTGAACGTGATTAATTCAATAAGTGAGGCACTGGAGCTCAATGTCCATACACATCGAAAAACTAAATTGGAGAGAGAGAAAGAGAAATAGAGAGAGATATCTTTGCCCCATTTATGCTACCCCTCTGAAACCGATGCGTGCTGAGTTCAGGCTGAGCTTGGATCAGTTAACCATGCCGAGCTCATTTCCCTTACGTCCATCTACACCTCATGCTAACACGGTTCCTCACCTCCTAGTGCCGATCTACGGTACTACTGCTAGGTTTGAAGGAGGGAACCAGGGAACCAAGCAAATGAAAATGGCAGTGCCAATCAGGACGTTATGTTTGGTTATAATTGTGATATTTTGTTGTTTGCCGAGAGTCGGGTGAAGAAGGCAGCCTTTGTTTGCAACTCACTCTTTTGAAGCCATTTTATAAAAACTAGTGTTGTTGTTTACAGTTCTTCTATTTTATGGTGATTTATTGGAATTTTATAACTGATGTGCATTACCGCCAACTACTAGAGGCTGACTGTAAGGAGATGAGATGGTCTGCTCATGCGCTCTTTGTTATCTGAGAACTGAGCTAAGACTGACTGGCAACGAGCCCTGATGAACTAGTACCAGTTTAACGCAGTCAGGTTGTGTCTGGCGCAGTCTGCTTTAATATTGCGTGCCATTTACACTCAACAGTTTTCTTAGTTGCCGTGCTCAGACCGCTCTCAACACAGTTTTAAAAGGGTAGTTAAATGGGGCTCTTGTCAGCAGCTTGACCAAGTAGCAAAAAAAAAAAAAAGTCAGCAGAAAGCTAACCTTTCTTTATACTCTGTCCTAAAAACGCCTGATGAAATTCGATGTAGTGCACTCTCAGTAACTTTAACATTGCAGATTTTACTGGTAACTCCTTTTTTATTTTGTGCTGTCATGTTGTCTTTTTAGACAAAATGTACGATTTTCGGGATGCTGCCGCTCAGAATGGCTTCCATCTTTACTGATCATCACTCAGACTGATGCAGGGATTCCGCTTTGTACTTTCTGTGGAACATCGGTTGCCAAGTTTGCCGATTTGCTGCAGGTCAGGAGCCATCACGCAAAATAAAACAATGATTATCTAACAATGTATTTGCTAACAATAATAATAATATAATGAAAATGATTGCAGTGACTTGGCAAGCCACATGACTCAAATCAAGTCACTTCACAGGTCAGGAAGCACAAGTCAAAGTCAAGTGTTTTATTAATATTAATCAAGCAAGTCATAAGTCACGAATCTGGCCACTCGAGTCGAGCATCTGTACTGTTCAGCTTCGTCACATGTCAGGGTCTAGTAAACAAACCAAATTTATAGTTTAAATTATTTTTATATTAACAGATGCCAGTTGAAGTTGAAAATAATAAAAGGTATTTATGATTTTAACAGAGAACTGATGTTTTTATGTATATAGAATGTCAACTTATTGTTTTAGTTCAAAATACATTCATATGTCCAAGTTTTATTATTACTGCTAAACATACATTAATATTTAACTACTTCTTTATGGGACTTTATCAACGTTATACCTTGGAAATATGCTTTTGCTTTTAGGACTTATTTATTGTTTTATATACGGTAATAAAGTAAGTCGTATCAAAGTATTTTATGGTATTTCCTATAGTCGTGGTCATAAAATCCGTTTCAGTGAGATTTTAATGAGCAGTTCTGCACTAAAATAAGGCTATAAAGGCAGCTGCTTCAGAAATCTAGTTAATATTTCACCTATAAAGGGAGATGCAGGTTTTTGATTTACCTTGCTGCATGATCTCAACTATCTGCAGCACCTTCTCCATGTGCTTTCTGGCTGCAATCAAACCCTGCAGCATCAGCATCTTGTAGTAGATGAACATGTCTCCATCAAGGCCGCCCATCACCTGAAAACATGGGAGGGACTTTTTTATTTTAGTTCTGCTATTCATTTATTTATTTTCTAATTAGAAAGAGTTCCAATATTTGCTGACATGTTATCGTTTGTAACATTGTAACTGTTTGAATAAAGTTTTCACTCACATCTACAAACTCAGACGTGAGCTTAAAGGCTGACGTCTCGAAGCCGAGGTTACGTGGAGAGCTGGAGAGAATGAAGCCGAAGTCGATGTGGATGATGTGGCCTTCAGAGTCCAACAGGATGTTCCCGTTGTGTCTGCAGAGATGACAGAGGACAAGATTCACCTCAGCTGCAGGAATGATGAGCTACAAGTAAACACTGACAGAGTGTTTAATGTCTTTAACTGCTCTGAGGTTTCTCTCACCTGTCCTTGACCTGCAGCAGGTAGCAGATGAGGCTGTATCCAGCGCAGCTCTGAACAAAGTTCCTCTGGGCTGTGAGGAACGCCTCAGTGGTGAAGCTGCCGTGTTCCTGCAGGAAGTAGTCCAGCAGTGACAGCTGACTCTGTTTTCTCACCTGATTGAAACAGAAAGTAATAAATTTTAAAGCGAAACAGACAAAAAGACAGATATATAAGCTGTTTTTTGTTTCATTAATAAACCGAGACGATGAGGGTTAACGTCAAGCATCTGGATCAGAGTTTCAATCCGACTGCCTACCTGGTGCAGAGAGACTGCGTTGAGGACCGGCTCAATCATCCCGCTGTCTGAGGACATCACTAGGATCTTGTAAGGTTTGATCCACAGAGGAACCCTCTCCTGCTGCCAGATGGACTGATCACACAGAAATGGAGCTCAGGTCACAAAAAGATCAAATGTATTCAAACCTTTGTTCGAGAAAATTGTAAAAACTTTGTTGAATTCATCAGTTTACATTTGAATCCTTTTTGTTTTTTGCTGATCAAAAACAATTTACAACCAGCCAGAAATAAGACGATTTACAGCTGTGAGCAGTTTTCAAAAATAGCCATAGTCACCCGGTAGGATTTTCTCTCTTTAAAACTACAAACGTTGAGACAAACCAACACATTCATCAATGCGAAATGAAAAATCCTCCATGGTTTACTTTTTTCCTCCTCCAGAATTTCTCTGGAAATCTCCCTGAATGAGCAGAACCCATAGCATGACACAGAAACCATCTTGAAACACAAGGACTAGGTGTTCAGGGTGATGTGCAGCACCAGGGTCTTACCCAATTAATGTGTTCTCCAGCTTCACTCTGTGCCGCTCTGTGTTGGTCAATCCCAAATTAAAATACCATGAAGCTGACAAACTAAAAACCTGAAAGATTTTTTTTTTTCAGAAGTGTTGAACATTTTCCTAAGCTGCTCCATGAAGCCTACATCAAGTCAAGCTCTGTCTCTATGTACCTGGAGCTGTTTGAGGAACTGATAGGCCAGCAGCTCCTGTCTCAGATCGTCTCCACATTTTACGATGACCGACAGGAGCCTCCAGTTGGGCAGGTGACCGTAGGGGGAGCCTTCTCTGATCCGCCTGAACACAACCACACAGTTAGAGGCAGAAGAACATGGGAAGTGAGGGGGGGGGGGGTCTTTTTTGTTCGCCTTCAAGGACAGACCTGACTTTCTCCTCCCAGGGTTCTTTGAGGGCGACGGCGGAAGGGTCTTCTGGGTCTCTCCTGAACGTGGTAGGTGTCTGAGCGAGGTTCTCTGACAGACGCCGCCTGAAACAAACATGGAGAAAGAACTCAGATGGGTAAAACAACTTAAACTTTTTATAACTCATTGTGGAGGAAGGGGTTTTGTGCTCAAGTTTCCATGTTTTAAACTCTGTAATCTTCTACCTGATGTCTCCGGCAGCGATGAAAACTGGCTCTTTGCTCTCCAGACTTGTGATGCTGTCGACTGAAAACTGGCTGATGTTGTCACTGCTGCTGGTCTGAGCCTCCCCCTGGAAAAGAATATGTATTAAGCAGGAGTTTCCCTTCCTGAAAACACTGAAGTTAGAGGTTTTTTAAAGCTAAAGTTACCTCCACCTGTAGCTGTCCAATGTCGTCTGTGGCCCAGGCCTCGTCGTCATTGTCGTAGTTGGGGACGGTGGAGAAACTTCCAGCTCTGTGCTCAGAGGTCATACTGCTGCCGTTAGCCGGTGTGCCACAGTCCAGGTTCTCTGCAGAGCGTGCTGAGCGGATCCTGGTCTCTGGGATCCGCACCGGAACGTGAGACGTCTCAAAGCTGACGCACTCCAGCACCTCGACGTAAATGATGTAGGGAGCCTGGAGAGGGGAGCAGGAATGCACCATATTCAGTCATTTCTACATTTTAAAAAAGATTTTTTTTAAACCCCTTGAACATGTTTTTATTTGACTTCAAATTGGTAAACATTGCATAACATTCACCTTTCACTGCATTTGCAGTTTCAGCTACAAACACAGTAAACTGTTTCTCTCACACTCATACTGGACACATTTCAAATCCAGCTGCAGGTTCTTGAAGGCAGCATTTCTTTGTTTTTCGGCATCGAGGCACCAACCTTGTCCTTGGAGTTGAGGACAACAGCTTGGGTGTGGGGGACCCTGCAGACATGGTGCTGGTGCTCAGCTGTGGGTAACCAAACTCGAGCCGGCAGCTTGTGGTTGAGCAGAGACAGCTCTGAGATCAGGCGCTGTGTCTTCTGCTCTTTAGTGGGCAGCGTGGCCAAACGTTTTCCGATGCAGAACAGAGACTTTACAAACTCCCTCTGAGGACGGAGACGCTCTGGCTGCAGAAAGGCACAAACAATAGCAACTTTTACGGAAAAAGATGTGATGCATTTGGTTACATTTGAGTACAGCTCTGCCAGCTGAGCAGCTATGATACTACAATCATGAATTCAGTCACAGATGACCGTCCTCAATAGGAAGGTTATCAAAAATGTTTATGTTCTGCCATGTTTAATAAACATTCATTTTATGCAATGTAGTTTTTTTAGTCAGATGAATCCAGCAAAGTCTATCATCCTTTTTAAATATAAACTGTTTGAGATTAAAGCGACGATTCACAAGTTTTTTTTTTAGTTTTTTTTTTTTTACAGAAGCTGCAACCATCATATCTGCTGCTTTAACACACAAACGCTTTCTTTTTCTTCATACAAGTGTGGCACAAGATATGAGGCAATGAACCGACTAATATTGTTATGAAGAAATAAGCCACAAACACAGATTGGGAAATTTTTCAACAGACCAAAGATAGAAATATTTCTGATTCAAAATAATAGAAAGAGGAAAATATTCATCTGAACCAAAGAAACGACTGAAGGGAAAAACAAAATGCTTTTTAAATAAGCCAACTATTTAGCGCAGAGGTCACAGATTAGCAGACCGCAGTCTGGATCCGGACCCAACCTGATTTAAAACATGTATAAATTAACGCATGTTTTCCAATGAAAGTGTCTAATTTCACTCGCGCCGCTTCTCCTGTTTCTATGGTATAGCTCTCCGGAGTGTTCAGCACCAGGCTGCACGTGATACAAATTAGCCAAAGAGCTGCGTCACTTTGGGTTACTGCTGCAAGCTACTTTTATACAAGCAGGCAAACCTGTCGGAAAGAAGGAGAAGAAGCTGAGAAAAAGTGAAAGAAAATGTGTGGACTGCTGGAAGAACTGTGGTGAACTGGTGACAGAAAAGTGAAATGGTGTGCTCAAAGATGACGCTGCACATTTTGAGTATGTTTGGCTTGGCTAGGATCCTCCACTATGAATATAATCAAAAATAAATATGGATCCAGGCTCAAAACTAGCACCTTTATATGTGCTTTAGAATGGCTTTGTCTCCATTCAAACCCAGGTTTAAAGCCTTGCAGGTCAGCCTAAAGCCCACTGCTCTCATTAAGCCATAAAAAAAGAAAAACAAACGGTCATTTCAGGTGTTTTATAAAATATGTGAAACAGGAAATTGTCTATATACCAAACTGATTGATTGTTGTTCTCTACTCCAAAAAAAACTTTAGATTATTTTTTAGACTTTATTTTTTTTTATTTAAAAAGTCAATGTATAACATGAATGCATAAGGACCAACATTTGTTTTCAGTGTTAAATTCTGCTTAAAGTAACAGATTATAATTAAAAATGTCTCTGGATCTTTACTGGTTGTTGATTTTCTTTATTCGGAATCTGCTGATTTTTAATTGGTTACCCCCGATTTAGAGGATCAAAAGTTTTTTTAATCTCTTTTTAGAAAAAAAATAAATAAAACTAGGAAAATCCTGCAGATTTGGATTTATTTCCAACTGAATGATGAACCTTTTTAATCTTCCTGCTGCACATCCTCCAGCCTCAAACACTCATTTCACTCCTCCTTCCATCAGTCATTTTCTCCTATTTTCAACACTCCCGTCACCACCTCTGTTCCATTTCCATGGCAACCGCTCCTTCCTGAACAGCTTCAACAGCAGGTTTTTGCAGCGTGTCATGTTCCTCTCTCTGAACTTCTACTACAAATAACCTTTTATCTCTTTGTGATGAAAAGAGACAAAGGAGGAAGTTACATAAACTTCCTCCTTTTACGGGAAAGATAAACAGGGAAGCAGCAGGTTTCAGGTGACAAAACACTTCCTGAAAGCTTTAAAAAGGAGACTGTTCCCTTCAGCTTCAAAGCAATGTGTTGTTAATGTAGAAAGCAAACGCATACAAAGGGATTCACCCATTCAGAGATGAGTTGGATTACTCCATCTATAAACAGAAGAATCCAGGAAAACTTTAGATGTAGAAGAAAGGGCCTTCCTGAAGCGCGACTGTAAACAAATGCTGCTGNTTTAATAGAAAACTTGGATTACTCCATCTATAAACAGAAGAATCCAGGAAAACTTTAGATGTAGAAGAAAGGGCCTTCCTGAAGCGCGACTGTAAACAAATGCTGCTGAAGCAGGTTAGATTGTGTTGCACCGACATCCCGCAGGACATGTCTGCTTTAGCCTTTACTGCAAGTTAAACAAGCTGAACCTGAACACAAGGTGTACAAAGCTTTCCTGGATCTGCGGGTGAAGAGAGCAGCCAGATACACAGCTGTGACGCCAAACAAAAAGCCGAGCTGCTGACGTAGCGGCCAGCATTCCCGTCATCTTAACTCAAAAGCTGCACCTAGACGACATGCCGAGATCAAGCTCTAAAACTCTTTAAGCCTGCACACAAAAAGCTGCTCATAAGGAACCAAAACAACCTTGAAACTTGAACAAAAGTAATTTGTGCTGTCTGGTTTCATGCCTCTCTGGGTTATTCAGATTAATCTGTATCAGAATTTCATTTAGTTGAGGAGGAAGAGAGATAAAAATCAAACAGCAGCTTTTCCTTATCAGGAGTTCAACAGTTTAAATGCAGAAAATAAGGAAAGCTTTCTTTTCTAATGCTGCTTTAGTTCCTCTCCTATTTTAGTTTTTCCTATAATAAGAGTAGAATAGCAACAAACAGGAGAACGGGGTAAAAACAGAAAAGGTGGAGTCTCTCTCTTTAAACAGGTCTATTCTAGATCAGGTCACATATCGGTGAGCCTCGGTCAGCATGTGAGCAAAGCCGGCTGTCTGGAATGTGAAGGCCAAGTGCAGCGCAGAAAAAAAAAAAAAAAAAAAAACACGACACGTTTTATCGCCAAGCCTCGAAACCAGGCTGATCTCCTCTGATCTGCAGCAGCTGATCAGCATCAGAAGCTCCAGCAAAGATCACGTCATGTTTATTCTGGATCCGCAGACAGAGAATAATGTATCCGATTAAATGAAAATCCAGACGACCGTCACATTTTCCTGCTTTGGGTTTTATTTTCATTTAACGGGGATCTCAGCAGGTTTGTTTCTGCTGTTTTTAGGTCATCTGTTGATTCCATCTGGAATGCAAACCGTTTACATTCCCAGAGGTGGAAACTCTTTCTAAAAGCAGAGTTCTTTAACCGCTTGTTCATTTTTCATCATCTAGGTCACAATTATATCAAATCTCTACGTCTAATCTTACATATTTTTATCAAACAGTTTCCTCAACTTCAAACCATCTGATGGATTGGTCTCTCACCTCCTCATGGACCGACTCAACCTTCGGGTTGCTCCCTGTTCGTCTGAGACTGGCGCCGGGGAAGCCGCTGGCCAAGGTGGCATCTGACTTGGATCTCTGGTGGGTTCTCCTGGATGGCGAGACAAACACCTCCCCCTGGTCGGCGCTGTCCGGGTTGGGGCCGGCTATAAAGGAAGCGGAGGTGCAGGCATCCATGTTGGTGCTGTTGTGCCTGCGGTGCTGATGAGGCGGCGAGGACAGCGGGCTGTCGGAAACAGATCCTGAAAGCGATCGAGGCTCCTCGGACTGAGGCTTCAGGTCATCTGACAGGATGAGCTTTCTGAGTTTGGTGCCTCTGGAGTGGCGCTGGGTGGAGATGTGCATGTCTGAGGAGTAGGCGCCAAGAAGCCAGGCTGACAGCAGAGAGAAGGTGATGCTGGATCTGCAGCGATGGATCTGAGAAAACACAAATGTCCAACTTTAGCCTCTGAACATCAAAAGGAACTCCTGCAGGTACGTGTCAGGACTCACCAGGTACGGTCTGATGGCGTCTCCCACCTCCGTGTCCATGTGAACGTACATGTTCAGGAGCTGCGGCAGGTAGAAGTCCACCTCACCGTCCGGGAAGCTGAAGAGGCGGTTCCCGATGTACGCTTGCACTCCAGGCTCCTTGGACTTATACAGGTAGGAGATCGCCATGGAAACGTCAAACAATTTGGACTCAAACAGGCGAAGGAGCCATGACTGTTTGGAAGAGGACGGTGAAGGAGACCCTGATGGCGCTGCAGGAGGGAGCTCCTTGAGGACAGCAGCTTCCTCCTCCTCCTCCTCCTCCTCTTCCTCCTCTTTGATGGAGCTGGTGTCTGGGTTGATGTTCCACTGCGGATTGCAGCATTCTGCCGTCTCCACACACTGCTGCTGCTGTTTCTGGTCGTCTTGCTGCTGTTTATTGTCCAGAAGCTTCACTTTAAGAAGCACTTCCTGACAAGCCTTAAGAGCCACTTCTGGATCGATCACTGGAAGAAGAACAGAAGACGAATGAAACGCTGCAGACTTTTAGAAGTCCGCCTGATCTTTAACACATTTGGTTTCATTGCAGCTAATTAAAGTCTGACTCCCGGTCTCCCTTTCCTGTCAGACGATCCCCACCACTGCTGACCGAGGCCGAATTGTATTTCCCAGAGTGACCTCTATCTTTACCGGAACATCTAAACTGAATGATGCTACTGATGGTTCAGTCCAGAGGGACACAAATTCACATACGACACATCAAAACCACAAACTTCTATGTAGCACAGGGGGGTTTAATGAGACAGACATGGAATTATTATAATAATGATTGTAATGTTTGTATTTTTTTGCAAATAAAAATCTTAAGAATGTTGCATACTATCTGAATCTGATATCTACTTTGATCCAAGAGCTCTGGAAAAACATCAGAACACAGCAGACAGAGCGGTTTTCAATACATGACATAAAAATAAAAACAGAATAATAAAAACAACCGCAAACCTACAGGCCAAGAAGAGCATTCATCAGAACTAGAAGCCAAATGGTAAACCAGAAGGACGGTGTGAAAAAATATTTTACTCTCTGTGATCTTCTCAAATGTTGAAGGAAAGCCATAAGATGTTCTTTTTGCAGGTTGCACAGGAAACAAGAAACCTCTGTAGGTATAATCCACTTTTTAGCATTAATAATAAAATTGATTTATATGTGGGACAAAAGGGTTTCACATGCCCTCTTAACTAGAGAGTTTTAACACTGGGGCACGGCAGTAGCAGCATTATGATGGCAGCAGATGGAAAGAGGGTTGGAGCTAAAAGCAAGATAATCCTGGAAGAAAACATCCAGGGACTTAAAATCTGAGAAGGAGCCACACCGTCCAGCAGGGCATTGTTTAGGTTAGAAATCTGCAACCTTTATGATACAAAGAGACATTTTTTTTCCCTGACTCAAGCTAAATAAAACATATTTAGAGCTGATGAGTTTATGAAAAAAGGAGACAGAATTTTTGATAAATATCTAATTAACAAAATCAGTCTTCAATTTAGCAAAACTGTTCTATTTTTTAAATTTAAAAAGCAAACAGTTTTGCAGAAGAAGGATGGATACATTTTCTTCCACAAGCTTTTAAAAAATGTTTTAACAACAGATATTCTTTCCAACCTAAGGACCATAAATAAATAATCAATGGTAACTTTTAGGTCATTCTCTTGCACAAAGTTAGAAAGTTTTGCGAAAACCTGCATTTTTCCTGCATACCATATTTTCTGGACTATAAGCCGCTACCTTTCTTCCACGTTTTGAACCAAGCGGCTTATAAGAAGGTGAAGCTTTTCTGTGGATTTTTCCTAACCACCAGAGGGGGAATGAGGGACTAATACTCATTTAGCAAAAACAACATGCTAGCAGCAGCCACGACAGAGAACAAATGTCCCAAATTCCCAAATTTTGACATTTATTTGCTGCATTAAAGCTGCTGAACCAATGAAGAGACAAGGCTCAACTCCTGCAGAGCTGAAATAAAGATTTGATGAAGATGCATCTTTCAGTAGAACCTCTTACTGCGGCGAGCTACGAGCAAACGGGAGCTAGCATTCTTCTTTGTCTCTACTCCGGGGGTTATATGTAGAGCTCCCCCTACAGGTTTGGTGGGAGACAGTTCAGTAGATATCAGCTTCTATATGTATATTTCAAGTTTTTTTTTTTTTTTTACTCTTTGGGTGTGGCTTATAGTGAGGTGCACTTTATAGTCCGTAAAATAGGGTATATAAAAAATATTAAACACTAATTGGTTCTCCATCATTTTTAGCCCAAGTTATTAAGAGCCACCGTGGAAAGTCCAAAGAGCCACAGGTTTCAGACATCTGGTTTAGGTTCAAGTTTATCCCAAGTAGAACTCCACACCTAAAGCTCTTAAGTAGCATCTGAGACTAAACCTACCATTAATGAAGAGAGTTTGTTAAATTCGACTAATTATCAGTCTATAGATGTTAAAGGAGAGCGACTAACGAGCTGCAGGTGGGATTACAGGCTTTATAGCTAAGGGGCTGTAGGAGGAGTTTATGATCCGTTTTTACAACAGATGAAAACTTAACTTCCTCTGATTCTTCAGATCCCCCCCTCATGTCATTACCTTGATCAACTCCCAGGTCCATCTCCATGGCGTCCTCCGAGATGACGTCCAGCAGCGGACTGGGACCTCGCTGCTCGCCGCCACTCGACATGCCGCTGCTGCCGATGCCTTCGCTGCTGCTGCCCAGGCTGCCGGTGCTGCAGATGCTGCCGCTGGGGCTGGAGCTGCGAGGGCTGGCGCTGGGAGAGGACGGCTGCTCGCTGAGGGGGGGTGGGGGCAGCTGGAGCTGAGGTCGTGGATGATGGTGGTGGTGATGATGGTGGTGGTGGTTGGGGCAGTCTGAGGAGCTCTCAGAGCAGGAGGAGGAGGACGAGGAGGAAGAGGAGGAAGATGAGGCACTGGAGGGCGAGGAGGGACAGGAGAAGGTGGTGGGAGAAGAGGAGGTTGGAAGGGTTGGTTGGACGGAGTGGGCGGGGCTAATGTGGAGCGGTTGGAGAGCGGGGGATAAGGAAACTTCTGTGTCAGCCATTTTGGGGGGAAAGGCCTAAAGAGGAAAAGACAAGGAAATTAAATCTTTAATAATTATTTGTCCCTAAAATAAGGGGAAAGAAATTATAGAATCCTGTGTGTATGATTTAATATTACAAAGAAATGATAAATAGTCTATATTTTTCATTTAATGGGGAATTTAAAAATGCTTCAATAATTATTTTATAATTAAATTAAAAAATTATAAAATTAAACTTTTCTGTGTAAAAAAAAAAAAAATCCATACTATTAACAATAACATGGAAACCTGTGGATCTACAGTCCAACAGCTGCTGGAAGAAACAACCAACGATAATGTTCCTTTGTCTACCCAGAATGCAACAGGCTGACTGAAGAACACAGCTGACAGAGTCAAAGGAGAGCCCCTTTACTGCTGCCTCTATATTTCTAGATTGATGAGCCCACATTTGGCATAAAGGACATATTTATCCTGTTAGATGGAGTCTTGAGGCATTGGATGATCCAGTCACAGAGCAAGGAAGTCATCCCTACAGATATCAGCATCTAAGGATTTACCTACAGAGCTGTCGTCATTACAGGGTATAAGGATCCTACTATTAAAAAAAGCTGTCATGTGTGCATGCACTGTATATATCCCATGCACCTTTTTCTTCTTCTGGCACCTTCTTCTTCTCCTTTGACTATTTGAGTTGATATAACGAGTACATTTCTCCACTGTGAGATCAATAAGGCTAATCAATCAATCAATCAATCAGCCAAAATTATCTCCACATCCGACACCAAACCCAACTACCAAATACAAACTGTTATATTCAGTTTACAATAACTAAAGTACCAACAGCAAAGAGTTGTGGAAACATACATTAAAAACAGGATCATTGAGGACTACAGCTGCTGTACATATTTAGTGACTGATGGCTACAAAAGAAAATTAATTAAGTGTTATAACACAGTTTGAGGACAAAGTATTTCCTCCCTGCTGCTAACCATCTAATAGCTGTAGAGACGCAGCAATAATTCAGAGCTCCCTTTAAAACCCAACTTATCATATGGTGGAAACACATGGTGTGGGTTTAAAGTAGCATCTGACTGTAAATGATGAACAAACCTAAAATTGAACAGCGCTTGATCTAAGCGGAGGACACCGCAGAAGTGCTTCACACCACATTCACTCATGTCTCACTACATCTCATTAAGTCCTCCAGCTGTGCATTAATGTGTGTTTAGCTGCAGTTAGCACAGGGAAGTTCATCTACCAAAAAAAAAAAAACACAAAAACTGATAATAAATCTATTTTTGCACCCTCCCTCATTGGCATGAGGTGGGCTGCAGGCTGGCCATTAGGGTTTGCAACTAACAAACATTTTGTTAATCAATTAATCAGTTTATTATTGTTCCAAATAAGCGATTCAAAGTAGGAAAGCAAAGGATTCCTTGAGGTTTTGTTTTTTTTTTAAACAAAATTTAAACCAGGTGAAACTAAAACTCTTAGTTCTGGATAAACCATATTAAAAGACGAAAATTATCTTAAATTGAACATTTTTTTTTCTACAAATTTGGTATCATTTCTGCTCTAAAGAGGTTCCTCTGTCAGCTAAAAGCATGATTTAGAGTCTCTATAAAGCAAAAGGACCGGTTTCTTATTTGAAAAATACATAACCAAATACTGTATTTAAATATGTTTGTTTGTTGTTTTTTGTTACAGAAGAGGGGAAACAACTTTTCTAGCTCGTTTCATGTATGCCGACATAATTTTAAAGGGAAGTACTGTTTCTAAGATTTAAAATGTGAGCTCTGTGTCACTTCCTGCTCAGCAGGGATGATAGGAGGCAGTGCAAACAGAAAGATTATCTTTGTTTAATTTAATCATAATTTTATTCCCATTTAATCATCTAACCTGTAAGGTTTCCTATTATTTAAAACCCTTTAATTGATTGTCTTATTACTAAAGGGTGCTTTATAAATAAACTTGTCTAAATAAAACTGTTCACGTGCAGTAAATAATTACAATCAGGAACAATCCATATTAGTTCTGTGTTTCCGCGCTGCTGCCTCAAACGTGGCTTAGCGAGGAGGCGGGAGAGGAAGTCCTTCCCCGTTGTGTTGGTGTGCTACGGGCATGACGCAGACAGCGTGCATCACTAGGATCCGCATCATCAGCACCATCCTCCATGTGTGTCTGCACCCTGAGGAGGCGTCTTGTTTCTATTTAATCTTTAATCAGTCAGAGCTCCACGCTTTCTCCCGTTTCTCTTTGTTTGAGGATCACAAAGCCACAAATCAATCTTTTTGTTTTTGAAGGCTTATATATTAAAAGAAATAATAATAATAATCTTTGGTTTTACAGGAAAAATCTTTTATAATACTGATTTGGTGCCATTCTTATCATTTTTACAGACTCCACTTATCTGTATATACATTTATTAATTAAAAATTTCACAGGAAAACAACCGCTGCTCAGTAGGTCCTGATACAAACATCACATTTACATTAACTTTGAAGAGATACACTGACCACTGACCTCAGTCTTAAAAACATGTTAAGGGCTTTTTTTCTTTAGGAAATCTCCAACTATCTGTGCATAGACTGTGCATGTGAAATATAACACAGCTGCTTTTACTTTATACGACCCCAAACAACAGAGTCTGAACTTTAATTCTTATATTGTTGATGGTAGAAAGTCTTCCTCTGCTTAGGGGAGTCCCTGATTACACACAGCTGAGCATGAGATCATCCCACCAAAGAGATAGTGTTGAGTTAACATCTAAGTGATGCTTTCCAGATGTGGAGGCTGTTGTCGCGGTGACGTTATCCATGCATGGGAGTGTTCGTTGTAAATTTTTCAGTTCGTTATCTGAGCTAAGGCTCTCGCCCTGCAGCTGTTTCTGATCCTCTCCTGATGTTTACGGTTTCTCTTCTGTGACGTCTTAGGAGGATCTCTGGCCCAGATCGCTAGCTGAGGGTTCCAGCTGCAGACCTGGCTCAGACACTTGGGATCATTACCATTAATTACCCAGAAAAAAAGTAATTTAACTACAGCTTGCTAAGTCTCAGAGACTGCTGGCAGAGTTACAGCCCAACTTAAGAGCTTTTTGTCTTAAAAACAAAATGGTTATAACTTTTTAAATCAAATCTAAAGAAAAAGTTTGCCATTTTCAAGCTTATTTTAACAGTTCAGCAAGTTTTGATTAAAACTAAAGATTTGAGGAAAGCGCCTTTAAACATAAACTTCCTTTTATGAAGTGGGCCTCAGAGGAAACAAATTTTCAATCATATTCAACGATGACAGAAAATAACGGCGTCCCAAACTGAGAAAAAAAGTCTCAGTGTATTTAAATTAATTGTAAATGACTTCTGTGTGGAAAAAAGTGAACTTGATCTGATAAGCTGATTTGATACTTTAGACAGGGAAGCAAATGATGAAACGGTTCAAAGGTCAGGGATGCAAACTGATTTGAACAGACTGTCAGTGAACGCAGCGCCCTTAGTGTGCTGTAAGTGCTGTAAGAGGGAGACGTGTGTGGCTGAGGGCAAAGTGTGGGGTTTATCTCAAACCAGTCACCTCAGATCCTCTGGGGAGAACGTTGACACAACAACCCAGCTCAGAGGCAAGTTGAACCCTGTGTTATTGGGAGTTTCCACCTTTTAAATCTATGGAACATCTATTTCTAAATAAACGAATCCATCAAAACAAACTTTACTGTTCCTGGTGGTGGGTTAGTCATTGTTTTTTCTCTCCCTCTTTCTCGTTTACTTTTATATTGATTTTGTCTCAATGAAAACGCTGTTTGCAAACGTTTTTACTAACTAATCCGAGCACATTGGGCCTAAACTACACCTCTGCAAAGAGCAATATATGGTTCCTGCTCCCAAAACATGGTGCTGTGCACTGCTGGTCAGCTGGTTGAAAGAAGGCTTCCACAGTTCTCTCAAATGGAAATATTTTTCATTCTAAGAAACAGGGGATGAAAAAAAAAAAAAAAAAAAGGATGCCTTTAATATTCACTGAGGTAATCCTGTTTTAAGACTGATTAATATATCAAAGTTGATATAATTTAGGTAAATCAACTTTGCTTTTGTTATTTAATTGAAAGTAGAATAAAGCAAGCATTAGCTGCTTTTTCCCTTACAATTCTTACAAAAAAACAGACAGCTTTTTAATATCTTGTGATCCTTATCCCCTTTTATCATTCAAGTCAGATGTTTTGAGAACATTAACTCTGCAACTAAGAAAAATAAAAATGACTTACTCCTACAGGAAAATACTTCAAACTAGGCATATCAGATTTGGTCATTTTGTAGAAACTTTTAAAGTTGTAGGTATCCCTTTTTATTGGAAGAAGCCAAAGGATTCAGCTTATAAACTAGTCAACAGTTATTATTAATATGCCTCCATATTAAGTCTGTTTTGTTTCGTGTTGTTTTGTATGCCCTGCATGTGATGTCTGTTGGTTTAATATGAAAAACGAATAAAAAAAAACAATTTGATTAATAATATGCCTCCAAAGGGTTTGTAAAGTCTTTTCCAGAGAGGTATATTTAGAAATGCATATCTTCCATTATCATCACAGAAAGATAAAAATCACCAAGAGAGAGAGCACAGGATCCATTTGATTTTTTTTTTCTTATTTTGTAGCTTAATTCATCTCTAGAGGTGAAAAATTGTTGAGGAATCTGCTCCTCAAACCTGCTTGAATTAAAAAAGAAGGGAAATACCACAGACATCAAGGAGCCCTGCATGCCCAGAGGCATTCCCTGACAGGAGGGGGTTAAAAAAAAAGGACTTTTACTTTATTAAAAAAAAAAATAAGTCTTTTTTTTAAAAGAAGGATCCAATTTCCTGGCATTTAAACCACCAAGAATCTAAAAAAAATCCTCTATAACATAAGTTTCTTTCAAACTTCGCAGTGTTATTGACATATTACAAGATAATATAACTCGTATTTATTTTATTTGTGGCTAAATTATTCTCAAAATATTACACCTTAAATAGATTTTATCTTGAGTAAATCAAAAAAGTATGATGCAATTGAGTTTTTTTAGGAGCACAAATAAAGCAAACATTTTTGGGGTTTAAGGTGAACGTTATTTAAAATGAGACAGTCTGTCGAGGAGATACAGGAGGGTGGCTGCCAGCAGGACAAGAGAGGAGGAGGAGGAGAGCCGCTCCCTCCTGATGAAAACAAACTGGAGGAAGGGGCACGGGAGCCGGCCGGGCTCCAGGAGGCCTAAAAACGCCGTTTCAACCGAAGAAGTCCCACTACTAACCGCCTTTTCAGGGAACTAGCATAAACAGAAGCAGTGAAACGCAGTGAAAATAGCGAGAAAAGCGGTACGGGAGGGAGGGGGGGGGGACTTACCCGGCCACTTATGCGCCTTTTACCCCGATTAAAAGCTCCGATACAAACGGTTATTATCCAGTTTCAATCTTCCTTTATTCCCCACGTTGCTCCTTGTTATCAATCCAGGCGGTGGTGCTGATTTTAGTCGGTGTTTTTAGGATCCGTCACGGTCCATCTGCTCCGGGATTCCGTGGCCTGGCAGTCCACGGCTCTCTGCTTTAAAGAAGCTGTGACGCAGGATGAGTAAAGTCAGCCATTAGAAATAAAACACACCACTTCCGGCCATACCTACACAATAAAAGCACCGAAATACAACTAGAGTAAAAAGTAACGATTATAACACTAGATGTAGTTTCTCCATGTGTGCATTTTTAGATGTATTCATAATCTAGATTGCTTTAAAGTAATACATATCATCATAATCCTGATATATGCAAATTATGTTGATTTTATTAGCTATATTATTCAAAATTGGTGTAGATAAGGTTTTCTATCACAAGTTAATTTAATCAAACAGCTGAACATAAATGTCATTATTTAGCGTGGATTATCGAAAGTCTAGTATATTTAAATGCTTCATTAGGAGCCAATTTGTTAGAGTTAACTGAAACTTTTATTTTGAAATCAAACAGTCATCTTTTAATAAGCTGATAAAATTTATTTGACAAAGCAGCTTTTTTTGGTTGTGTTTCCGTTTTGGACCAAGACATCCATCCAGTTTTCCCACAGCTTTTTCTCTTTTTTTTTTTCTACATGAGTTCAGCGGGAAACATTTTTAATTAACACTCCTACGTCTTTTTTTACGGAAAAGGATAAGGGCCACTGAAAAAATAAAAAAGTTAACAATTTTTTTTAAAAACAGTTTAACATGGAGGAAAAGTCAGAATTCTGACTTTAATCTCAGAATTCTGACTTTTTTCTTAGAATTTTCAATTTAATCTCAGAATTTTGTATCTTAATTTAGATGGGAATTCTCAGGAAAAAGTCAGAATTCTGAGATTAAAATCAGAATTATGAGGGGGGAAAAGTCAGAACTTTAAAAGTCAGAATTCTGAGATTAAAATCAGAATTCTGAGATTAAAATCAGAATTCTGAGAAAAAATAGTCAGCTTTCTGAGATTAAATCAGAATTCTAAGGGGGGAAAAGTCAGAATTTTGAGATTAAAGTCCGAATTCGGATTTTAATCTCAGAATTCTGACTGAATTCTGAGATTAAAGTCAGAAATCGGAAAAAAGTCAGAATTCTAATATTATAGTCAGAATTCTGAGAAAAAAAGTCAGAATTTTGACTTTTTTGTCATACTGAAAAATGTAAAAATAATTTAACCTTTTTTTATTTTTTCAGTGGCCCTAATCCGCCTCCGCAATTTTTTTAATTTGAGGGTATAGAGAGAATAAATTAGACCAGAAAATAAATGAACAGCACGTCTTTTATTCCACCAATGTAGGAAAATAGATTCACATTAATGTTCTGGCTTATTTCCTCCGTCACTCTTTCTTATTTCACAACAAAAACAGGGCAAATTAAAGGTGCATTTTAATCGAAACGATCATCTCCAACAGAATACAGCATTTTTTTTCCTGCCTTCCACCATCATTAATAGGTAAAGTGCAAAATAAAATAAGATTATAAAAAAAAAACAAAGCCAGCAGGTGAACAAAACACATTTACAAGTTATAAAGAGAACCCAACAAACGGCCACAGGAAAGAACATGCAAGAAGCTGGCAGTGTCTTACACAAATAAAAAAATTAAAAGAAAAAAAAAATTAGGGGGTAAAACTGCACATCACTGAGCTGTACAACTGTATGAAACAGCAAAGACACACAGCAATAAGCAAAACAGAAGGAGTAAATAAAACCAGGGTTAAATTTTGTAGAACATTTTAAGAGCGATTAAAAAAAAGAAGCTGTGCCATGTGTTCAATTCCCACTCAAGGACTACATTACCCAGAGTTCCAGGCGGTAAGCAGTGGCCAAAACCAAAGTCTTCCTTCTCAGGGCCAAGTTCTAAAATATATCTCCTTTTTTAATAGAAATTCGTGTTTTTCGTGAATGTTTATAAAATCTTGAGTGGGCTTTCAACAGCAGCCAGCTTCTTTCATATCGGACAGAGTTCACCATCATTACATTAACTGCAGGGTTGATCAGATCACTCCAACAAACATCTCGTCATTTCGTCACCTTCAGTCTCAAACTGGCTTTTGTTCATTATTACTCTTATAACTTACAGCAAACATCTTGATTGAAAAACTTTGTATATAAAATAAGCTACTTTAACATTTTTTATTACTTTTGGAGGTCCTCCAAATTTAGCCCCAATTCAAATCTAATTGGCTGAACCCATAATTCAACAGGATATATAACTACTCAAACACTATCTGACTGGTTTTGATTTTAATATGTCAGGCTGGAAATAAACTATGTAAATATTTAATTTACCTCAATAAATGCAGGTTAAAGTTTATATACATTAGGTTTTAGATATATTAGCAAGAGAGTTAAGAGACACTAGATTGTGAACCAGAGGTGCAATCGGAGAATGTTTGTTTAACTTGGTCTGATCCACCAGCACCAACACACCGATACCCGAATCCCGATTTATTATCTTTGCTTAGCTGACCCGTTTCTGGTTTCTTTGAGCAACGCAGCTCCACAGTGAAAGCTTCTTTCTACTTCTTGGTAAACATTTCCTGATGCAGTCCCCAGTAAGGCCATGATGGTTCAGACTGGGTCTCTCCATTGACATCTGAGACTATTTCTGTCCTCCTCTCCATCTGTCAGTCCAGCACCTTAATTTCCCAATATACTTTCACCTCTAAATCAACCCAACTTCTTTTTAAATGTCAAATGACAGATATATAATCTTTTACCAAGCTTCCTTTGCTTATAAAATCAGTAAATCTACTTCCAGCTCAATGGAAACATCAAAACAGCTTCTGAATTGCTTTTGGCCATAGTAAGTTGTTCCCTTTTGGAAATGAAAGGAATTCCCCATTTCTGGCCATTTTTCAGCAAACTAAAGTTTCAGTCAACATGTTATCCTCCAAACACTCACTCAGAGGGTATCTGAACATAAACCTGTCCAGACGAGCTGCTCAGAGCTCCAAACAGTTTCTGTAATTCACAATTCGGCAATAAGAAATGCTGGCAACTCATAAATATTTTCTCCAGTTTGGCCCAGCAGGTAGCAGGAGAAGCTGCATTTTGCCTGAACATTTTAAAACAACATTTCACTCAGAGATCAGGTCTGAGATCAGCATCATCTCTCCCTGGGCTTTGGTAGCACTCATCTGAAGTTGTTTTAACCAGAACAATGCATGAAACCACAGCTCGCTTCGTTTTAGGTCCTTTTTGTCTGAGTTGAGTCAGTTAGCAACATTTTTCCACTAACAGCAAAACCAAAACCAATTCAAAACAAAAACAGACAAATACGAATACATTAATTTATTCTAGTCCAGAAAAGTTATCTGTAGCGAACCCAGACCTCTCTGCAATTGCTCAATATTTACTATAAAAATCAACAAGTCTAAAAGTTTGGAGAGGATGCTGATTATTTTGCCCGTTGTTACCAACTTTTAACCCCTGAGGGCACAGAGGCGCCATCTACTCTGGACTGTTTAGTTTCTAATTTCACAGCTAATCACCCATTTATTGAGTCCGCTCAAAAACAATGAGGATATATGACTCAAATAGATGGCATATATTAGCATTGGGTCACTAATAGTTACTGTGCTTACATAGAAGACATAACCTTCCATGTGGTTCAAAGAACCACAATTATACTGAAAAAATATAAACAAAAACCCTACATAAGATTTGGACATTAATATGGATGTATATTTCCATAAATTACCAAAATACTAAATAACAAAGAAAAAAAACAAGTGGTTTCATTTAAGAAATAGAAATCTAAGTAATTAGGGAAAATGTGGCATAAAAAGGATGTAATGAATTAGTAAAGGAGCAAACTGAGCAGAAGATCCTTTAAGGTTTAGACTTTGTTGAACAATTAAACAGTAAACAAGTCGAAATGGAAACAGAGCCATGGATCATGCTGGTCGGAAAAACAGGAAGCCCACAGGTTTCTTCTGAATCAGGACTGTCTGAAGTTTGGTGCCTTTAAAAACAGTCGATTAGCAGCCTGCTGAGACCTTTAAGATTTAATTCTTAACTTCACTTCTGCTGCAACCAAAGCCCACGAGTGAAATGTTGCTTCAAACCGCTCAACACCCACCTGTTACTTTAACCTTTACATGAAAACTGAGTTTCCTCTCTTTTTCTTTTAATTATTAAACTCTTAAGCCAGAAAAGTTGTGATTTTCACTCTGGTGAACTGAAAATCAGAGCTTCTAACAGAGTGCAAGCATAAAGCAGAATATTACATCACTCATAAATACTTGACGGAGTATTTTCTCAGTACGATAAACTCATGATATACATACAGACTCTCCCTATAAACTTTCAACAGTGCAACGTTTGTTTCAGTTCTGCATGAGAGGCGGTGAAACAAGCCTTTTTTTTTTTCCACTGTGGAAGGATGGTTCATTTGGCACTTCACTAAACTCAGGTGACTGACTACTATAATCATTAGTGCTTCTTTTAGATGAGATATTTGGGGCAGTGAGTAAATGAAGCAAGCACTCTCCTGCTTCATGACAGCGCTGAACCTCCTTCTACCATTACACAATAAAGTTGATTTTAATAACAGTCTTGAGATTTTCCAATCTCCCTTTTTGCAGAAAAAAAGCCAGACACATGAGAACAGATGGAAAAAGGGGGACACTACATATCTAAGCTCTGACAAGTCCATAAATTGGCTCTCTTTTTTATTTTCCTTATAAATAAAACTGTGGTTATGGAATGAGGAAAAAACAGGAAGGACAGACAGATGTAGAGCCCTATGGTGGTGTAGCACCAAAAGATGAAGAAGGCGCCCTCTAGTGGAGCGACTGAAGGTTTGGTAGAGGTGAAGAGTGTCAGCAATGTGACCCTTCCATGGAGACTGACACAGAAGCGACAAGCTGAGAGGATTGCTCCTCTCCCTGTCTCAAATAATTTCTTTTGCATATAAAATGTGAAGAAATATTTTTTTAAAATCTGGGATAAGTTCTGAGAGATTGGAGATCATGGATAAATGTGAATCACAGTGTTAACGCAAAGAAGAGTAATGCGTGGTGCACTAAGCTGTATCCAAACATCCTGAGTTATTGAGCTGATCTACTAAGATCTTTGCACTTAACTCTGAGTCCCAGCAAAATGAAAGCAAAGCAAGGCAGCAAAATATCTTCTTTCAAAAGATACGCTGGAGGAAGCAAATAAGAAACATGGTGCCGTCACATTGCTGACTGAGATGTGGCCGTGGTTGCAGGCTGCAGAAGGCGGCTGGAATTAGTGCAAAGGGCACGATGGCAACACACGTGTAATCTGTAACGCCACGACAGAAACCGACAACTGCACAAACATCAGCCAGTGATTAAGACGTTTTACTGCATCTTCATGTGCTAGTGGTACGTTGCAGGTTTCCTTGTGCTTTGCTAAACTAGCATCCGAGCTGAAGCTTTTCCTTTTGCATTTAAAGGCAAACTTCACCAAAGTGAACTTATTTAGTCCCAATAGCCCCTTTCAGATCATGGATTTAAACCTGCGAACACCTTCGTCTGAATGCATCAATATTAATGCCTTGTATAAAACTAATGTGCTAACATTGAGCAGAATCCGTTGCACATTGGAAGCATCAAACCAGGAGGAGGATCACCTGTAGTATTTGTGTTAAGTCTAATTGTATTCACATATTTATAGAGTTTATTGTCCCTTTAAAAGGAGACGAAAAAGTGCAAACATTTTCTACAGGGGTGAGAAAAATAAAAGAAAGCAATCCCCTCTTCCCTGAAATAAGGCTTTGACTTTTCCCCTTAATCGTACAAAAGGATAAATTCAGTTTTAAGAGCAGTTGTGGAGTGGAAAACAGATGAAGCTCCGCCCAGTGCGTGTTTTTAAATAACGGTTTTTAAACCACACTTATCAAGCTGTGAGCAAGATATTTGTTAAGCAACCGACTGCAGTAGACGAGCAGAGGAACGAATAATCAGCCACTCATCAACTTGTGCCATGGTTACCAAAAAACAGCAGAAGTAACATTGAGCACAATAAGCATTTTTACTTGAAAACTACAAAGTGTTGTAACTAAAAACATAAATGATATTAACACTCACAAAAGCTACTAGAAGTTTATTTTCTACAATGATTTGGTCATTTTTTCCCTTTTTTATAACAAATTTGGAAGATTTTTATGCCCTTTATGTTGTAAAATATTTAATAAATATACTATACTAATAAATATGACAAATATTTTCATGTCTATTAGGGGATTATGATCTGAAAGGGGCTACTGAGAACTGTTCAGAAATCTATCATAGTTGGATCTTTTCTGCGTCCTTTCAGCAGAACATTGAAGCTGAATCTGCCTCCCATCTGGATCCGGTTCCAAGTAAAAGCTAAACAGCTGAAGCTTTCTAATTAACCACGGGACACAAAAGTTAAATAAAAGCAGCATTTTTTTTTGGTTCTCCACTTGCGTTCTGAGCAACTAAAACAGATAAAGTTCTCAGCATCTGCGGCTTCTATCGTTTTTCACGTGTTTTATATCGTAGCAGATGGATTTCAGAGCCAAACTAAAAGGTTTTGGAGTTTCTCCAACAAACCCACTGAAATGCACAAGAATGATACCGACTCAGTTTTCTGGAATAATTCTGACATATATCAAGTTTATGTATAAAACTGTCGTTTTTTTTCTTTTTTTTTTTTACATAGAAAATGACTAACTTTACTTGATATATTATTTTGGGTAATGAGTATCTTTAGGTTTTCAATCTTTCAACCTTAAACACATAATCAGACACAAAAAAAAAACACAAATCTGCTTAAAACAACAGGACTCTTTAGAAGAGGAGGGCTGAACCAAGCTTTAATTCACCTTCAGCTAATTATTCATAATATCGCTATCATCATAAGAGCTTCAACAACTTCCTGGTGAATAAATGTTTTTACCTGGAGGTGAATAAAAGCTTGGTTCTGGTTTATTTAGCAGAGAGAACCTTTAGAAGGATCTAACCCGTATCTACTTCCTGAACTGGAATCGTCTGAGGCCTGTTTTAAAAACATGGCACCTTCTCTCCTTCCTCTATTAAACTTTCTGCATCTTAAGTACAATTGTTGTTAATTTTCATTTTTTTTAAAAGAAAAACAAATGAACTGAAGCACAGACAGTTTTTTCCGGGAGGGGGGTGAAGACAGTAAATAAGGCGGAGAAGGAAGAAAAATAGTAAAGATGTTGGTTAAGATTTAAACCACAGGTTGCAGAAAGACAAACATGCAGTTTAAAAAAAGCAGTTTATGGGTGCATCAGGACAGGAGGTGGCATGTGGACTTTTTGGCTTCATGTATCCTGCTGGATTGGCTCTCTGCTTCTGCCAACCTCGGATTTCCACCAATCAGGACGAGGAGAGATGAAGGATGGGGAACCTTTAGCAGTTGAGGTAAAATCTGAGTGATGGAGGAAATTAAAAAACTCAGGAGGAGCCGGTTGATGCCAGCTAATGTCCTTCTCTCTGGTAAGGGGAGCTGTTTTCTACCTCCTCCTCCTCAATCTTTACCACCGTGGTGGAGGAGGTTGAGAGGGAGGAGGCAGGAGCAGCAGAGGAGGTGGAGGTGGAAGCGGGCGGGGGGCTGACGTCTACTTCCACTGGCGTCAGCGTTATCTCCACCTCGCCTTGCTCCTCGTGCAGCGTGGGGAGGGGAAGAGGGGGGGGACTGAGGTGTGCCGTCGGAGGGGGCGCCGTGCTGCTGTTGTTATTTCCGGGTCTCGGAGCTTTCTGGATGACTTCCACCATGGGGGTCCGGCCGGTCGGGGACAGCTCCCAGCTGGGGGTTCCAGGACTGTGGAAGAGAAGCACGGGCCTGACCTGGCTGTCGGGGTCGGTAGCCCCGCTCGACTGGCACTGCACCACCACGCCGCGGGGGTCCACCAGCCGATGGGATGGATCAGACATGGCCGGCAACTGACCCAGAACCAGCCCCGGCGGTTCTTGGATCACCAGCTCCACCACTGTCTGTGTGGAGGAGGCCAAAGAGGAAGTGGCCTTCTGGATGACACCACCCGTTAACGGGGTGATGATTGGAGGAGGGGCAGCGGTGGCTGGCGGAGGAGGGGCAGCCACAGAAGGAGAAGGAACCGGGTCCTCAGGACGGGGTTTTCTCGGCCGTCCACGTTTTCGTTTAACCGGTGAACTGCTGAGGGAGGAAGCAGCTGAAACGCCAGCAGCACCGATGGATGACATTTCCCCTTCCAGGGGCCGCTTGGCGGTTGAGCCGCGAGCTTTCTGGACCACAGAGGTCGGGGCCGCCACAGTGTGCTGCTGGGCAGGGAGGGGGGGAGGAGGCGGCGGAGCCACCTTGTCCGTCTCAAAGGACAAACAGCCCTGAGGAAGAATCATCAGCGGAAGAGGCCTGCCCTGCTGCTGGGGCAGGGTTGTCATAGTGATGACCTTCACGCCACCACTATTTGCAGGAGCGGTAGCAGCGGTGGGGCCTCCATGTGCTGACTGCACCCCAACAGCAGAGGCATCTGTGGCGGTCTGGGGGGGCACCGAGGAGCGGACGGAGAAGCTCTTATCCGGGATGGAGCTGCGAGGAAGGATTCTGGGTAACTGCTTTATGAAGGCTTCCACCTGCAGCACATGCAGAGATGGAGACTCATGTTACCAGATGATCTGTTTGTCAGAAAAAATGCAGCATATCTGCATTTTGTTGAAGTAAACGCTCGAATTGACTCACAGCTTCCTGAAAACCTGCTGCCTATCAGGACAATCAATTCTTTCAAACTAGAAGCAGAATGTTTTTATAGCCTGTTACTCTACAAACAACAAACTTTAAAGTATTAATTTGGTTTTGACATAATTTCAAACCAGATTAGTTTATTTATATAGCATCAATTCACAACACACGTCATCTCAAGGCAATTTACAGAGACAATTCAACCAGATCATACAGTCAGAATGGTTCAATTTTCTATCTAAAGAAAACCAACTGATTGCATCGACTCGTTGACTCGAAGGCAATCCCTCACACCAAGCATGCTTTTAGCGAAAATGGAGAGGAAAACTCCCTTTTAACAGGAAGAAACCTCCAGGAGAAGCAGGCTCAGTGCAACACTAACACAACGCACTGTTTGCGCCTTGATGCAGGACCATAACCCCAAACATACAGCTGGAGAATTAATGCAACGGCTTCCTGATTGTAGCATAATTACTTTTTGGATTGGCGAAGTTAAAAGTCCAGACCTAATTCTAATATTATATTTCCACTTTACAGCTATATGTGATTTAGTGTTTGTCTGTTACATAAAATCCAAACAAATGTTTCTGGTTTTTACTTAAAAATGGGAAAAAGTTAAAAGGATGTATTTTTTTCTTTCCATTATAGCTATTTAAATGCAGTTCTGACACAATTTCATACCAATTCCTAAAGAACGAATCATATCATCAAATATCAATTTTTTAAAAAGGCATTTTTTCCATTTTTCTCACAGCCACATTTAACCACCATCAATTCATTCTTGATGATTAATGTTTATTTTTTCCTACTTAATAATTTTCCTACTTTCCATGTCTCTATATTTCTCTAATATGTTGAATCTAAGAAACAAAGTAAAATTCAGAGAGTCAGATTGTCAGTGTCAGAAT